CTCTTGCTGTGGGATTCTGCTCCTGCAGTCACCGCGGCCGCCGACCTCTCGACTCAGCCTGATGTCCTGGCTCAGCGGAAACTCGGCAATATGCAAATCCGTGATGCACTGTTCGCATTTGGAATAAAAATGGGCCGGCTTCAAAGATGCAAAATGTGACTTTGATATGAGACATCTTTCAGAATCCAACAGGTAGCTTTCTTATGATGTGTCGATAAAGGAGACAGGCGGTAGGGAGAATGTTCCTTGCATGGAGCTTTGATCTCCTAGATGCCCGCTGAATGACATATCTGTACAGGAAATAAATTATAAAATATATGTACGGACATTTGTACACCGCATTATATTGACAGTCCTATGCGTGATTTTCAATAAATACATAGCTTATGTGTGAGAAGACCTTGAAGTATGTACGTGCGCGTATGCGGAAACATCGCACATATTTCATTGTATCACACAGGCGTCACGCTACCCGTCACAGACTGTGTCCGCGTGCCCGGCTGAGGGTCCGGCGTGACAGCCTGTCTCCCGGCTCGGAGCGGCGCCGCGCGGCAGGGATTCCTGTCATACCGTGCTGACGGAGGCGTCACGCGCCCACAGCGGCCGGTGCTGGTCGGCGCTGTCGTGTCGTCGACTCGGCTCTCGACGCCGCAGCGAAGCCGGCGCCGTCTCGACGCCGCCGCGCCGGCGGGACTGCAGGACGGGCCGCGGCGGGCGGGACGACAGGGGCGCGCGGTGTCATCTGCCGTGTCGCCGCCGGCGGCGGGGGCGGCGGCGATGACGGATGTCGCGGCGGACGGCGCGGGGAGCGCGGCGGCCGCGCCCGAGCGTCGCCCATCGATCAGGGCTGACGACACGGCGCGGAGCTCTCCGCTTGGGGGCGGGCCGGCCGACAGATGCCCCGGAGACCCGACATGCCGACTGACGCCGGGCGCGTGAGAATGGACCGGCCGGCCAACCCCCAACTCAGCGCCGCCACTGGAAACGAACGGACGACAGACCACGGAGCGCCAGCCGCCGCCGGGGACCAAACCGGGGACACAGACCCTCGAGGGAGCGCAGTCTGCCGTCCGTCACCAGATGAAATTCACGGACAGGGATTTGAATGTCGTCCTGAAGTGGCCACCCGGTCTGTTCTGGCGATTGCCTGCAGTGTCTCGGAGCTCTGTGAATTCCCTCTCTGAAGTTTGGCTGGAGTTCTCCCGCCGCGAGGGAAGCTCTCGGAGCAGCACTCGGCCGCTGCCGGATGTTTTTGCAGAGAGAGAGAAAGAGAGAGAGAGAGAGAGAGAGAGAGAGAGAGAGAGAGAGAGAGAGAGAGAGAGAGAGAGAGAGAGAGAGAGAGAGAGAGAGCGGCGTTGAGGAGGATTCGTTACCGAGACGGAGACGCCGCGCCGTATCGCGGACGGAACGGTCCGAGCGTGAAATGGCGCGCGGCCGGCCGGCCGGACTGCATTCATACACGGTCCCGAGGGAGGGAGTCGCAAACGGACTTTTGGCCAAACGCCCAGCAAGGACCAGTCGCTCCACGAAATGTGTCGGTAAGCTTTTAAGTATATAGTTGAACAGCATAGTTACGTATGCATAGAAGAAATCACAATTTAAAACTTCCGACAAACACCTTTCTTGGCCGTTTATTCTTATACTCAAAATCGTGGACCATCTGACACAGAATTCATTGCATACCTACCCATCTTAACATGCTAAAAGACAAACTTATTTTATTATCATATAGAGACGTATACGACGCGATAGTCACGCACCATTCCACAATCCACATATGACATACCTACCTATGTTGCACATGTTTCGGCAGTGTCCACCTCACACCCTTGGATGACAAAGGTCCTATAAAGACGGGACTCCTATTATGTCCCCTGGTCACCGATCATCTCGCCCTGGTCACCGATCATCTCGCCCGACGATCACCTCCGCCTCCCCCGCTGTTATTCTCTGCCCGCTGCTATACCTCGCCTCTCCCCTCGGTGGCCGGTAGGCTCATCTTCCAGACGTTTTCCTTTTTTCTTCAACGGCCGGTCTTTATTACCGGCAGTTTGGTACAATCGGACAAATTGAGACATGCCACCCCTGCCCGCTGTCCACTCGGAACCAGCCTGAGAAAACAAACTGCTCCTCCAGAAGGACGTGAGCTGGCGCCAAGAAACTAGCCAACAATTATTGCCAGTAGACACATTTCCTGATGATTATTTTTTCTTCCAATGCTTTTTATCTATTGCAATAATTTTCGTTTCTTTTTCACCAGTATCATCTCTGACGATCCTCTTTACATTATTTCCAGCAGCCACATTGTCTACAAGCAGCCTGCAGCCTTCCCTTTGGGAGGTTTGTTTTGCCGAGATTCGGCGGCGAAAAATTAGACATCAAGGGCTATTTGCATTCACATCAAGCGGAGCCTTTGCATACGGCTGAGGGCGGTCGGCGGGGAGCGCCTGGCCGGTCGGATAAGCAGGGCGGCGCAGAGCAACACCGGCATACAGCGGCTGGCAGCACGAGGCGCGCGACACACACAGCAGATTAAAGGCCAACTGCCGAGCGAAGGTCGCGCTGCAGCAGATTGCTTTGATTCCATCCACTCTGATGTGATGTTGACCGATTCTGATTGCAATAGAGCAAACATCGAATGGTAATCATCCACTTCGTTGACTTAATTTCGCTTCTGCAATTCATTTGATGGTTCAAACAGACGCCAGCACTAGCAGCATGCTAAAGGCATGCATATAGCTCAACTCATATCCTCGTAATCAGGTGCTAAAGAAGTGGATCCAACATTCGTATACCTGCCTACGTGGTGCACTAGCGACGCTGCTATCGGTAGGTAAGGAAATTTTGATAGTGTTTTGCCTCACACTTCTTCAGTCCGCTATTAATTCGCAGTGTGCTATTGATTAATGCCTGCTCTTATCTCATTAAACAGCCTTTGGTTATACCATTAGGCGGGTCCGCCGGTGGGCTTCTTGCATCCATTACTCAGCATTATTATCTATTCAGCGGGCATGATTCGGCAGTGCAGTGAGCGGGCCTGCCGGCTCAGCGGCGACGGGCGCACAAATTACAATGATTCGTCGTCGGGAGGGGACGCGGAGACAGCGCTCAATCGGCGGAGCAGACCGCCTTTTTGTGCGAGACACGTTCAAAGGAGACAGCGCCGTCTGTGACGAGGTGGAGAGGTGTATCTCTGCAATCAAGTCGAGTGACTTCTATACGAGGACACTGTACGTCTCACATCCACTTGTCTTTTATAGGAAAATAATGTAAAACATCTCTGTCCTAGCAGACACACACTGGCCCACATAAGTACAATCCACAGCAGAAGTAATGTGCGGTTTCAGTCATGGGTATGTTCTGCTTCTGAAGCTTAGGAACGATTGGCCAGACTACAATGAAACTTTGAATGTAGCTTATATGTATCGTCACCCTTGCAGCTGCAACTTAAGCTATTGACATCTTCATTTCGATCACTCCGCATTAAACAATCGCCAGTCAAAGCCAACCGTTGAGATTGAGCCCACCCTACATTACTTTAGCGGTGGGCTGTACATCATATAAATACATTTTAAATCAATTTAATTACAATACCTACTTCCATATCTTATTGCAGTGGTATCAATATAGCCGACCACAAAACAAACCCCATACTCCGGTCGACAAAGTTGACGTTGCCGGGCGCTACCTCCAATGGTTGTCGTTTTTGGAATCAGAGTCGACGACTGGCCACTGATGATCAGTGCCGGTCTGATTTAACCCGGCAGGCGGTGGGCCTACCAGCCACCTTCCACGCGGTGGGGGGGGGGCACTTTTTTGCCCCCCCCCCCGTATCTCCGAAACTACTGGACGGATCCGGAAAATTCAAACGGCGTTCGATAGCCCTGTCAAATTTGTCGAGGGAAACCAAATTTTATTGACCTCGGGGTCACCGATGACGTCACAGGTCAGGTCAAAGATAAAATGTTTCACCGTTCACAGGGCTTCTAGGGAAAGCGCTATAACACCGAGTAAAACGCATTTTGTCGAAAATCAGCGATAAGGCGTCAGTTGTCTAGTACATATGTTGCTATTAGAGGTCACTGGTCATACCAGGTCAGGTCACAGGTCAGGTCACCAAAGGTCACCAAGGGTCACCACATGAGCCCAACTTTACTAAGGTTATGTGATGCGTGTTTTATGGCCAGTTTTTCATTTCCAACTCAATGGTGTTGGTTATAAGACCATTAGGTACGGTTGAGGTCACTTTCTGGTGGAGGTCAGGTCAAGGTCAGGTCAAAAAAGGTCAAATTTCAAAGTTGATATTTTTGCATAAAATGGGTATCGATTCGATGCAGCTCGTCACGGGGAGTCTAATGGTGGTCTTTGTTTTGCGCTACGAGGTCTAGAATTGCTAAAAATTGAGTTTGAAAATGTGACGTCATCAATTTTGAACAGTTTTTTCGCTATAACTTGGCTAAAAAAACGAGGTATCGATCTCAAATTTGGTATGTAGATAGAAGGCGGTAGGGACTATCACATATATTCCGGTTTTTTTCGAAATTCAAAATTTTTTGGATTTTTTGGCTATTATATTCAAAAAATCTATTTTTTGATTTTTGGGGGTCAAAATCCAAAAAAATCGAAAAACCGAAATAGCAGTTTTGTAGCCCTTTTGATTCCACACCTTTTATGTCAAAAACATTTTTCTGTATCTCTAAAGCTGTAGGCCTGACAGCTCTTCCCGCGAAACCTTTTTTTGGGTCGAAAATGGCAAAAATGACGTCACACTTACGTCATTAGCGGCCAACCTATCATAGCCTTTGGAAAAATTTTTGGTCACCATGTGCGCTATAGCTGCTCCCGGGAGGGTACTGATAGTTTGGTGACGATCGGCGCAGCGGTTCTCGAGATATATCGAAAAAAGTAAAGGGGGGGGGGGCAAAAAAATGCCCCCCCACCGCCTGGAAGGTTAACATGTAACTGCAACTGGTCACTGACAATCGGTGCTGCTGTTTCAGACATGTACGAGTACGCAGAGGCGGCGCCGCACGGGTACGCCCGGCCGACCGGCCACGGCCTCGGTCACGACCACAACTTGGAGAAGTTCGTGGCGCGGACGCCCACCGGCTCCGTCTATATCCCATCATCAGGTCAGTGTCAGTGCCGGTGTCGGTGTCAGTGTCAGTGTCAGTGTCAGTGTCAGTGTCAATGTTATTTAGTGTCAGCGCCAAGGGAGGGAGATGCAGAAGGGGTCAGCTCAGTCAACCTGGACCGCTACTGAGTCTGTGTCTGCTAAACCGCAATCCAAGTGAAACAAAGTTTATCGCATCAGAAAGTGCAGTAACGTCTGGGAGAAGAAGCTGTTCGTTTTTAGCGGTTTCAGTTCAACATTCACCTTCCAATTCCACTCAGACATTGGTTCGGCCCGACCATTTTCTCGGTCACACCGCCTCCATTCGGCGTTATTTGATCGTCCCCGATCTGGGCTGACCCCGTTCGGCCTCCCGACTCCGACCGCGGCCTCTGATGGTAGTCCGATCTGAGGTGGCCGTGTCTCCGCCGGGCCGTTACCAGTCCCGATCCGGTGAAATACCGGCCGGTCGCCGACCTGGGGCACGGCCCGGCGCCCCAGAGGTCACCGCTCGTGACCCGCGCCGGGGAGCGCGGCGCGTTTTACAGGCCACCGCCGTCTGATGATGATTAATGCATGTGCAGTGCATACGGTAGGCGCCGGGTAGCCCGGGTAGACTCCGTTAGTCTGTTCATCTCTGCGCACGCAGCTCCCGTCACTGCTCCGTCCCGCAGTGATTTATTCACATACCACTGGCAGATCAACAAACTACACAGAACAGACTACACAGATGTCTGCGGACGCATTCATTTATACATAATTTATGTCCTGTCTGTAGCGTAAAAAGTTCGGGTGGAGTTTCCAAACTAGAATTGATACTCCACCTTCTGTGACGCCAATTGAGCACCTCATATAGCACTTGAAACTTTGAGTCACGAATACTCTTCTTCTTCCCATCACACCCTTCAAGAATTCACAGCAACGATATCAATACTACTAAATCAGCGGGGGAGCGGGATCGAACCAGCCCGCTGCCAATCGAACCAGCGAGCTGGCGCCTCAGCCGCCCTCACTCCCACCGCCGGCGGCCGCATCGGAAGCCTATATCGAAACGGAACGCTCTCCGCCGACGAGCCGACCGCGCCCACTGTTATCCCGCTGCCGGAGAACGCGCTCATGTGCCATAAATTGTGCGCGCCGCGCCGCGATGTTATCGTGCTGGTCGGATCGCCGGCCGCCCGGCGCCGGTCGGTATGGACTCAGCGCGTGTCGGCGGACCGATAGGAGACCGCTTTATGGGCCGGCCGCGAGCTGACCGCTGCCCACCGAGACGGTATCGGCGCCCGGTGCTGGCAGCGCCGCCGACCCGCCGATCGGACCGATCGGGTCGGCTGATCGGCGGCCCGGTCCGCGCGGGGCGGTGGCCGACCTCGGTCGACAGGGCGCTGAACGGGAAAGATATCGAGGCCTCGCCCTTACTGGAGACCCGGCCCGGGGCCGATTCATATTCCAGCTCACGTCGGGGCCATTCGGAGCGTTCATCAGCTAATTGCACCGATAGCCTGCACGTAACGGTAACTTCTGAGCGGCAGGATTGACAACTTCCACGAAATAACTTGCTCGGAATGGCCGCGGTAGCGCGGTCTACGTCTCCATTTGCCGGCGCCATACGTCCCCGTATCTGACGGCCGCGCTGCCGCAGCCGGGGTCAGTCAAACCACAGGCCGGCCCGGAACCACATCCCGCGGCCGCAGCCACATCCCGGCCGCAGCCTCAGGCCAGTTCGACCACATCCCGCCACAGCTGCCACAGCCTTGGCTCGGTCACTACACCGCTCCATCCTGGGTGCGGCTCCGTCTCGGCTCCCCTCGGGCTCTATGCTGTCCCACTCTGTCACAACTCAGACTACAGTCACAGCGGGGATAAATGTTGCTGAGATAGAAGCGCTCTCGGGCTGGCAGCACGACCGGTGAGGTCCGTCCGACTCCGGCTCGACCTGTGGGCTCCTGACGGTGGCGGCGTAGCGGAGACGGATCGCAGCTCCCGCGGCCGGCCGTCGGAGACAAACGGGCGCCGGCGGCCGGCGGCGGTCGGCTGCCACCCCACCTGTCAGCGTCAGCCGGCTGCCGGGCCGCCGTCCATCCACTGACCCTCCGCCGTGCCGCCGTCCGTCGCACGGGTCCTACGCGAGGCTGGACCACCGTCCATCCACCGTCCATCCACCGGTCCTCCGCCGGGCCGGGCCACCGTCCATCCACTGCACCGGTCCTCCGCCGGGCCGTGCCACCGTCCATCCACTGCACCGGTCCTCCGCCGTGCCGTGCCACCGTCCATCCACTGCACCGGTCCTCCGCCGGGCCGCCGGACGTCGTACTGTGCTGGGCGCGGCCGCCTGCCGGGGAGCGGCTCAATGGCAGGATTGTGCGGATCAGCCGGCAGGCGTCCCCCGGGCCGGCGCGCCGGGGACCGAGCGGCGCTCGGCAGGAGGGCGCGCGGGCCATGATCGGGCCGCTGGCGCCAGGTTTAGCGATTGTTGTTGTTTAACGTGTCGGAATAGTCTCCTAAGAGTGATTACATGTGTTCATCTGACGCTGACGCCGCAGCGCCGTGCGTGGCACAAAAACAGACGGGCTGGCCAACAAAGAGAGCGGAGGACGAGGATGAGGGGGCGGCTCAGGGGAGGGAGGGGGCGGACTGTCACCGCCAGCCCCCGAGACGCCGCGCTCTAATTGACCGGTCGCCCGGCTGCGGCCGCGCGCCGCCGTTTACCGGCTGAATAGAGAGCGCCTTTGTCGACGGGCTCCAGTGTTTAGCGCGCTCTCGTCTGAGAGGCTACTCGGCTGAATGCGGCCTGCACAGGATCAGTAGCGGCCGCTGAATGGGCCACTGGCTGCGGTCGGCGGCGGCGACACGTAATTCGGTCCGGGACGGCGTGTAGAGCTCCCGGGGACCGTTCCGTGGAACCGACCCACTCTAATGACTGCACGGCCGGTAATCATAACACACCGACGGCTGCCTGCCTACACGGCGGCAGCGTTGGAGATGTAAACAGAATGGTTGCCCCACTCGACAGCTTACGCGGTTCACTGAGTTCCTGTGTTTCGAATGTGTCATTCTAGCTTAGTTGTGCGTCGGCGAGTGGGCCTGAATTAGTACTGTTTCGTTAGCGACAGAGACACGTGGAGGGACGGAAGAAGGGCGACGTTGTTCATGGGCGGAAGCCGCCTGCTGGCCATGTGTGGACGGGGTGAGAGGCGGCAGTGAGGCAGAGAGGGCGCAGGCGAGAGGACGGGTCCGTGTGTGGTGTTGGTGGCGTTGGAATGGAAATAGAAGACTAGACCAACTCGGACTTTTGTCGGAAATACCACAAGCTATTTCGGCATTTTTCTGGTTCAAGCGGTGAGAAGATGCCAGGTGAGAGCTCTGAGCCTGGTGACGGAGGCACCGGAAGAGCAGTGATGGAGGCGACGCCGGCGTTCGACGCCAGAACCATTCCGGAATTTGACGGAACTGGGAACGTCGTGGAATGGCTGGAGCAGGCTGCTCTCCTGTGCGAGCTACGCGCGGTATCGTTGATGGCGGTGCTGCCGACTCGGCTGCGCGGTGGTGCTTTCGCGGTGTGGTCGCGAATGCCTCCGGAGACTCGCCATCACCTGTCCAGTGTGAAGGCCAAGCTACTGAGGGCCTTCGCCATGGACCCATTCACAGCACAGGCCGAGATGACCAGACGCCACCTTCGTCCCGGAGAAACAGCAGACGTCTATCTGGCGGCGCTGCAGCAGCTCGCTGAGCTGATGGGTGGTCTCCCCGAAAGGGCCATCGCGATCGTCTTCGTCAACGGACTGCCGGAGACTGTGCAGGCCTCGGTCCGTGACGGGCTCGGGGAGAGCTTCACGCTGGAGTATGTCCTGGACCGGGCGAGAGCAGTGCTCTCCAGGGCGACGGTCACTGCGGCGGGGCCGGCGGCGGCGGCGGCAGCGGAGACGGCGGCGGGCGGCCCGTCGCCCCATCACAGTGACATCTCAAGGTCGGCTCGCCGGCCGGGTCCGATCCGCTGCTGGACCTGTGGCCGGCTGGGTCATGTCGCCCGGATGTGCCCAAACGGCTGCGGCGGGGGAGCTGCATCAGCGCAAGCGTCTCCTCCGCCGCCCACCGCGCCGGCAGCAGAGCGCCGGTGATCATCATGCTACTCAACGGACGGCCGTGTCACGCGCTGGTGGACACGGGCTGCGAGGAAACCGTGGTGTTTGTTGGGTGTTTGAACAACTGGGATCAATGTGAGATAAATATGACGGCGGTGAATGGTAGTGCGGTGCGATGCTGTGGGAGGGCAGATGTGAGTCTGGAAGCACAAGGCCGCCGAGCTGCGGTACGTGCTGTAGTGGTAGCGGAAAGGCTGATGGGTGTCGATGTGTTGCTGGGAATGACCGGATTGGAGGCGCTGGGCGGTGTGTTTGTTCGGGCAGGAGAGGTGCGACTCGGGGGCGGCGGTGTGACGAGAGAAGAGCGATCGGGGTGTGCCGGTGTTAGGGCCGAGTCGAGTGGTATGTCTGTCGCTGTGGTTCAGGCGCGCGGCCCGGGGCTCGGGGACGGCAGTGTGACGGGAGAGGAGCGCTCGGAATATGCAGGTGTTCGGCCTGAATCGAGTGGTTCATCTGCCGCTGTGGTTAAGGCGCGCGGTCCGGGGGACAGACAGATCGAGACGGCGGACTTTCTGGCAAAGTTCAGTGCAGGGAAGTGGACAGTGTGGTGGAAGTGGGCCAACGGCAAGGAGCCCGTGAGGCTCGCAAATACTGTGCCGCAGTATCGCGTGCCGGCCGAGGCGCAGGGACAGTTCGATGACGAATTGCAGTTGTGGATAGATGAAGGTTGGCTGCAGCCATACGACGAACGAGAGCACGGACCGGTGCGCGGTTTGATCCCGCTCATGGTGGCGATTCAGGAGTCCAAGAACAAGGTCAGACCGGTGCTCGACTACAGAGAGTTAAATGAGCATCTGGTGCCCCATACGGCTGAAGCCGATGTTTGCCGTGACCAGCTCCGCAAGTGGCGCCGTCATGGAGCCAATGTTGCTGTGAT